ATGCCAACCTATCCTTTCCCTTTCACTTCCCCGTGTCTCAGGCAACAGAACCCAAAACCCCCCACAGATAACCCTACCTGCAAGCACACTCTGGAGTCATGCCAGCTTTGTTTTGGAAGTTTGATTTTTCAAAAAAAAAAATCAAGATCACAGGATGCAATCCTTCTGATCAAGGCTGCTGCAGTAAACAAGTGCATCACACAGGCACAGCAGGCAGTTCATTGCCATYGTGCTGCTAGAAACCCTACCTCATCTTTAAGTGTTGATTTTGTCACATCAGTTCCCTTCCTAAATAAAATACGTGCCCACTTACACSCAAATGTATTTTGGATGTGACCAGGAGCACAGTGGGTAATTCCAACCTGGATTTCTTCACTGAGCAGTTGGCAGTGTCACATTTTCAGGAGCAGCCCGTGAAGGGCAGGTGTGTATCACAAAGGTATCACAGGGGACACCTTTCCAGTGAGTGACTGGAGCAGCTCRTTGAGAGCAGGATTTTCTGACTGTTAGCAAGCCAGGGCACTGTGGTGCATTTGCTGGTGTAAATGAAAACTGAATCACACCTGAGAGCTTAAAAATGTGCTCATTTTAATTAACACAGAAAGAAACATTGGTTGTCACCCTTCATGGCTGTGTTGCTGCCTGGAAATCAGAACATTGYATAGTGAAGGCAACAGTTTGCATTCACACCATGTGATTAATGAAACACAATTCTTGCTAATCATAGAAACTCTATATTTTTTATCTTAACTACCTAGTGCCACACTTGTTTCAGTCAATACCAAGAGCAAAAATGCTGTTGAATTCACCTTCCAAATCTCAATTGTTCTACAAAGTAAAGAACACATTTTATTTACACTTTCCTAYGGAATTAGATTCAAAACAGTCTGTTTGGAGCTGAATAGCCACATATACAGGGCATATGAGAATAGCAGACCTTTTGAAATGTGAAAATATGTGCTTTATCCGAAGGCTATAAAAAAATCAGTGGGAAGGCCAAGATCAGAACTAAGACATTTTTTGCTCACAGCCACAAACTCCAGTTTCTGCAAAATGCTGTCTACTGAGAAACATGCTCAGAGCATCCTTAGCTTGATGTTCCTTGTTAGTTGGTGCAGAATTGCTTTGAGACTGATTTTCCTGTCTCGTAATATGAAGCACAAAGAATCACTTCTTGAGAAGATTTTTAATAGGCACATCATTAACTACTGCCACAATAAAAGGTACTTCATGTTTAGCATCATGAAATTCCAGCCTTGATTCAGTCCATGATTTCTTCCTCTGAACAGGCCTATTTTTAATTAACATATTTGCAAATGTCAGCAGTGCTACAGTAGGTACATTTTTCTGCTTGTGTCTGCCTCACATCTTTACACTGCACACAAGAATAACTTGATGTGTACCTAATTTATTTGTACAAACTCACAGGTGAATCTTGTGTCCTTCCAAGCAGCACATGGCCACTGTTGTCACCTATGATTAGTTGACAGATCTAATACCTTGGTATGGAACAAACTCAAAATTTTGAAAGGGTGATTGATGCTTTTTTTATTTTTTTTTTTATTTTTTTTTTTAACTTGAATCCTGTGGTTTGCTAATATCTTATTATGTCATCAAATGCCAGCATCTACTTCGTACTTCTGGGAGGGTCAATCCTGTCAATCAGGTGATCAATGAACTGTCACAGGCACTCAGATAACTCTGCAAATCACATGTCCACTCCAACCCTCAGGCCAATTCAACAGCTCCACAACTGTGTGTGTCTTGGAGACTAAAACAACCCACGTGGAATTCTTTTCATTACCACTGTTTCTCCTTAAATCAAACAGAAATGACAAGCCTGCAAAGAAGATGGAGATTTGTTTCCACATAAAGTTATTTCCTGTGAATGCTTTCACACATCCTTTGCCTAACATGATTTTCAAGAAAATGAAATATAGTCATAAAAAAAGAAGCCCTGCAGAAAGCCATGAGTGCTGCCCAAGGGGAATTGCACTGCAGTGGGGTTCTGCAGATTTATTCCAAAATCTCCTCCTCACCCATCCAGGGCAAAAGAAACAGGCACCAAGACTTAAGGGCACTAAAGGGCAGCACTTGAAATTCTCACCATGTTAATGAGACAAGAAAGAATTAATGAGCAGGCCCAAATAATCCAGCATCATTCATCTTATCAGCAAGCAGTATTTACCATGCCCTTACTAYCTGTGCCCACCTGCCAACATTTCACAGAAAATAAAGCTACAGTCAATCACAAATACTGTCATGTAGAGCAGTTGATCACATTTGTTTCCAGTTCATGCTTTCTGCTAAGTCATCTAACTGAATAAAGAAATACTGAATTATAAAAATGAAAAATTATACTGCACTGAAAAGAGACTTTCAGCTTTTGTGATTGCACAGTGTGTACATTTCAGATACTTGCTTAAGAAAGTTTCAGGGGAAAAAAAAAGATCAAACTCAGAAATCTCTGATGATAAACTAACCTTTCAATATATTGCCCTTGATTTCCAGAGTTTCAAAACTGGATTAACTGCAGTAGTCCAGATGGATATATTCACTGTGCTAATCCACTGTGCTCAGTTTAAGTTTATTATGCTAAATACACTCCAAGAGGATTTTATCTTTTACCTGCACCTTCCTGTGCTCAGTGAGACTCTTCTATTCATCAAGTATGAGCAGCACAAGATGGGGTGGAACCTGCCTTTTTAATTATCTTGTACCAAAGTGGCCCCACGATGGAGCTGAGCTGCTCAAATTCTCTTATTTTAGAGCATCTCATTATCTATGGAAGATCACAAACTGAAAGAAAAGGTATGCTGAGCGTGCTATTGATTACAGCTACATTTGTCATGATTCAGTAAGYTGAAATTTCATATTCCAAATATTAAATTACTGAAATTATGCCTTGGCTCATCTGCATCCATTTTTTATTCACTTTTATTTGGCTGAACATTTTAATCTTACTTACACAGTTTCTAACTAAAAGTAAACTACGCATTCCTAATAATATAAATATGAAAAATAGGGTGTGCTCAGGGACTGCAGTTGAATACATTAAAATCACTCAGTTTGCTAGTTAACATATTTCCAWCCCTTTTATGTGCAACCTTTCACATTCAGCTGGCAGACTGCAAATTCATGGCCTTATAAAAAAACCCACTGTCTTGATTTTCTGTTGTGACAGCAGAAATYGTCCAAAATATCTAACAGTTTCCCTAAAGGACACTCACTGGCTGGTACTTCCCAGGTGCAGCACAATCTGAATTCGAGGTGAACATCATGTCAAATTCCACTCATCTGTCAATGTAGTGGATTATTTCTTGAGAGACTGAAATTGGCTGCCTGGGATCAGAGCACCATCAATCTTRTTCATGTAGGGTGCAGAGAAGCTGCCTGAGCCAGGCTCGCAGGAGGGAAAGCTTGGCTGCTCCTAAGGAGGTGATGAGGCAGCTGTAAAACCTTCACTCGATCTGTAGCACATCTCTGAGTGAAAGATTTTGTCATTTTTCACATTTCCCCAACATTTGGTATGCATTCAGTGTCTTGCTGTTCTTGCTTCATAAAAAAGGTGATTTTTCAAGCTTAGGCAAATGTTGCAGAGCTCTGGATCTGCCCAGCTCTCATTTTTTCTCATAATGTCACTTGTTTCAACTGATTCCATAAAATATTACATTTTCCTTTTACATATCTGTTTAGCTGGGCTGTTTTTTTCCCCATTCCCTTCACTAGGGACACACTCCAATAACCAGCAGCATTACTGATGATTGCATTGTAATAAATCCCTGCAGGTSCCAAATAAGACCCTCACCTGTCAAACTTCAAGCACTGCCAAACTTCCAATGCCACTGGTGAAGGTGACACCCCTGGTTAATCTGATGCACTGAGACCTGGCCTTGCAAGGATTTTGGTCTATTCCTCTATACTATGGATGTTTTATTGCCAGAAACCAAGACAATGCCAATATCTGTGACTTTTGGGCCAGAAATGTACTTGGGAGTTTAACTTACTTTAAAACTTTGAGTTTTAAAGTTACCAAAGACCTGTGGTTCAAGACCATCTGTTGTTGAAGGTATGTCATTAGATCAAAAAAACATTAAAATATTAATTGCCACATTGTAAAATGACTCATCACTGGGAGTTAACATTTTTCTTTTTTTCATTTCTACAACTCTTAAATCYTCTCCCACCTTTTCTTTCGATCCAAAGTCAGTAAGTGACATTCTTGGCCCATCTAATTTTAACCAGATGAGAATACTGTGCTCCAATATGCCAACACCTCAATTTTTAGCATAGCACATTYTTCAAAGTGCAATTGAAATTAGCAGGTGAAAAAGTGATGTGATCAGTTTCCATTAATAAAAACACAATAAAAGCAGTGCTGTGCCTGTCCCTGCAGATCCAGCAGCCCAAGTGAGCTGTGTTCTCCACTGCTAACCTGTGAGATTTATTCTTCCATTGCACTCTATTCACAGTCCCAAATTCCCCTACAGGCCACACTTTTGGAACCCCATCAATTTTCAGGGGCAAAGCTGAGAACCTCAGAATGTGTTTGTCTCCTTTATTCCTGACCTGTAATGCACAGGTGACTGAGGGAGATTTGGCGCMGATGTTTTAAGGAACAACCCATGCCCAGTTTGGGTCAGATAAGCACAAAGTTCTCCAAACCTGTGCAGTCATAGTGCCCAAGGTTCACAGACATTCCAGAACTTCAAGAAGGGGAAAAGGGGTGAGGGAAATAAGGACACAGAAACTGAACCGATTTCCCTAACAGGATTCTTTTGCTGGGAAATTGTTGGAAAATGACATTAAGGGATGATTGCTCCCACATGGGATTGGCAAAGCACAACACACATTGRAYTCACCAMAAAAACAGATGCTGTGCAATAGAAAGGCAAGCAACCCATAAAACTTGAATGGTAAAAAGAATTTTGATTAGTCAATCATTTATCAAGACAGACACAAGCACGGGCAGAGAGCCTGCAAGCTGAGCTCAGTCCTACCTGGTCTGTGCAGGTGATGCTGCTGGAAAGTGTGATGGAGGGACCCCTGACAGAGCAGCATTGCACAGGCACTTATCCACAAATACAGGACCCAGGACATTGCAGAGACCACTGCCATTCTCTAAACAAAATATTAGACAGACATTATTATCCAATGCCTCGCAGCACACAGAATAGTCAGCTTCCATTACAACAGTATTTTTAATATTTTTTTTTCTTTTTCGCTCCTTTTGCTAAATGTCTTTTGAGTATTATTTCCCCCTGCAGGATGCAATTGTTGTATAGCAAAGGTCATGCCCAAAAAGGACAGCTGAGGTAAAGAGRCATCAACACAGGAGCCTGGATAACTTTAATAATTCAGTGGTAAAAATCAAACTGGAATAATCTGAGGACTAAAAACCCACAAAATAAATAGCAGCTGGAAAATATTCTCACACTGATCCATAGCTGAATTTACAGGGCAGTTAAAAATATAAACTAAATTTTTAAAAAATCACAGCACCAGCTGAAAAAAACCCAGCATGATGTCCAGGCAGTAGCCAAGCTGCTTTAAACACATTGCAGAAAGGCATAAAGCAACCTCAGATATCAAAGACACATTGCCAAAAYACTCCATCCCCAAAACTGGAAGGCTCTTACTGACCCTGAAGGTAACAGTACATTGTTTGGTTTTTTTACTTTTGCAAGCATTAATTATTAATCATGCTTCTGTCTACTAAAYAAAGTAATTGTTTCTCAGAATTATGTTCTAATCCCCAGATGAAATCAGCTTTCTTTTGTTCGACCTGTGCATGTACAAGGACTGGAGTACGGCCAGACCGAATTTCAGATCTGCTCTATAAAGATYTGATGTTTTCACATAGCAGATTGTRTCAAAATTTTAAAAATATTCCCTTRGCAAAGGGAAAAAGCCATTTCTTTGTCTCCTGGTGCTGATGTACTTGGCCATCCAGTACAGACAACTGTGTTTTTTCATGTTTGTGTTCATGGCTGTACTAACTGGCTGAATTTCCCTCTGACTTGTTAACTTGAGCAGCTCTTTCTCACTGCCTGCAAGGAGCAGGAGGTTTGCAAGGCTCAGCTACGCTACACATCGTCCAGTTCCCTCAACAACACCTTCTGCTGCATTTCAGATGGCCAAATTAATCAAACTTCAGGCACTCTCCTCACTCAGCCAATGACGGGATGCTGCTCTCTATCTAATAATCCAATCAGCTGAACATCATTTTCACAGAGCAAGAAAGACTTTGAAAGATTAAATCTCTCATATGGAAAAAAAAATGTCTTTAGAAAAAAAAAGTCTGTATGTGATATGGGATTTCTGATTTTTACAGTCGGAAGATGAACAATATTAAAACAGTGAAATGCAGCGGTAATAAAAGATACGCATAAAAATCTTTTTGCCCCTGATTTTAAAGCAGCACAGTCWTTGGGAAGCTTTTAAAGTCTAATTAGTTGAAATGAACCACATAAACTGACAAGCATAATTAATAGGGAATACCAAAACATTATTTTGATCAGCATGAGCCTCTTTCTTTCTCTGTRCAGAGTGCTTGATGCACTGCTGGTRTATAATTAATTTCATTTCCAACTGTTTGCGTTGCAGTATACAATGCACTTTTTCTCCTCTCTTTTTAGACCCATTTATCTTGCAAAACAGATTCAATCCCCTCAGATCAGGGAGCTCCCGGGAGGCTTCCCGTGTCTTCAGGAATTAACACCTTCTTGTCATAATTGGCGCTCCCGTGCTTTTTATACCACAAGGCAAAGGTGAGTCTCACGTAGGGGAATTTCAGGTATTCAGGTTATTTAAACTGAACTTTTAAAATCCCATCTTTTAAATCTTTTTTAAAAGAGCGAAGCAAAGCCAAACTTCCGCGACCTGCTAAATGCTCCTGTTCCCTCCGGCATCACGTTCTTAGCACATGGACAGCACACTTACTTTACCCATTCAGGCTTTATTATTCGCCTTTTTAATATAAAATCTCTTTCAAACTGCACTACTTGAAACTACCTTTGCTCAAACCCCAGCATTTCCTACAAACATTTCTTCATTCACTTGTCAGCAAACACATACACAATTTTACCCAGAGATCATCTTATCACTAGTATAGAAACACAGCAGTGAGTATATTCCACTTATTATTTGATGAATTCCAGACCGGATTTCTGCATCTTAAATCTTAAGGAAGCTCCTTACCTGAGTAATCCAACCAAGAGCAGAGCACTCTAGTAGTGTTCATCGGAAAGATCTAATACTTTTTTAAATCCATCTGTATCACAATGAGGGATTTCTTTTATAGCGTCCCAATAATCTTCTTTAGCAGGATTAAAAGTAGAAAAAAAAAAAAAAATCTCTTTTTTCGTTACAAATCCTGTTTCCAGAGTAAAGAAGACATCTGAGCTCTCAGACTGCCGTCAGAAAAGTGGCCAAGGTTTGAGGGGTGGAAACCTTCTCATTTTCACCTTTAAATCATTCCCTAGCATTCCCCTTGTGCTTGACGAGCCTTTTGAAGTGATCTTGAGACAATTTGCAGCTCGCAGGACACTTCGGGGCTGGGAGGAGCGGCTCCGGCTCCGCACGGGCGGGCGGGCGGCGGTCCGTGCGCGGCTCTCGGCTGCTGCTGGAGGCACCGGAGCCTATTTCAGCACATCCCCGCTCGGGAGAGCATCACATGTGCCTTAAAGCGACACAGCCCTCGCTGACAGCCCCAGCCAGGCGCTCGGCAGCCGCTGGAGCCGCATTTAAATAGCGGCAGCAGAGCCGGCAGGGCGCAGGGGAGCGGCTGCGAGAGGCAGGTAGGGATGGGCAGGAGGGAGCGGCSAGGGGATGGGCAGAGAGAGAGAGAGCTGGAAAAGCGCTGATTGTGCCGGCAGAGCCGCCAGTCCCCAGCGCTGCTCTGGCACACTAATTCACGAGAGGAGAGAGAGAATTAAGGGAGCTCCTTCCCTTTGGCAGGAGCAGCACACGTCTGGGAACGGGGAAGGGTGGTGCGGGGAAAGTATCGAGGCACACGGGAGAGCAGGAGACTCCCACACGCTCCCAGGGGCTTTCTGATACCTTGCCACAACTACGAGCGCAATCTTTCCTCCCAACTCCATTTACGAGGCGTCTCTGCAGACAATGGGGAAAGAGCTCTGATTTACTCCCAAATGCTAAAGCTCTGCTATGGCAGATTATTTATTACAGTTATTTATTCTCCACATCTTAAGCGGCCATTTACAGGAATGGAGTGGTTTCCTCTCCCTCTTGTACCATATGTAATTGTTTGGTTTTTTTTTTCTAAAAGAGCCATTGTATAGACTTAGTACATACCATTCACTTGGTATTACAGCTCTTATGTCTGCCTACAAAAGAAAAAGGGCTTAGAGACAAAACAGAAACTTCCATTTTAAGAGCTCAGGATGTGTGCTATAACACAATGTGGGACTATTATTTCTTCTCCTGGATAACCTGTGCTAGAAGAGTGTGCCACCTTTGCTGCTCACCAGCACAAGACRCCAAACAATCGTAAATAATAACAGCACTAAGTACCCTCACTCTCGAGTAGCTCCTTCTCAGCACCCAAGGACATCTATCTCAGTGGAGACTCTCACYGAGCAGTGCAATGAGTCTCCTTGACAGATCACACACTCCTTTGGAGCTGCTGTGTTTTATTTTATTGGCAATACACACCAAGAGCTTGGCCCTGCAGAGCAGCAGAAATGTTATACTGGTCCCYGCCACAGTGCTCAGAGCAGCTCTCTATTAGAGCCTTGGAAGAGTGAAGCAATTGGTGGGAGGTGTGTGTGACAAAGGGACACAGGAGAGCACATGGACCCTCCCCACAGCATTGCCACCACTGCTGGGGGCTCCCATTAGGTCCCTGAGCAGAGCTGGGGACAAGAGAGTGACTCAGGACAAGCCTCACAGTGACCAGAGATGCTTTCAAGAGGTCAATATTTTCTTTTCAGATGCTTTGTTTGAAAACACATGGCACAAGTATGGTTGGGGATATAACAAACGTTTTCTTGTTTTCCTGAAAAATTTCCTCAAACACCAAAAGAGGGTAAAGGACTGGGGCAGATGTTATTTTCTGGCCTCAGAAGGGTCTAAAAGGGCCCAAAAAAGCAGAGGAGAGGCCATCAAGTACCATGAAATACTAATGAGCAAGGTACCTGGATCTGGGATCAGGCACAACCCACAGCAGGAGTCAGCAAGTTGAGGTTGCTGGGGGTGCTGCCAAAGCCACAGGGAGGCTCAAGACCTTCCCTCTTTCCATGGTAACACAGAGAGCTTCCTGTCAGGATCAGGAGATGGGAATTCATTTTAAAATGACACCTGTTTAAGGTATGTCCCTTTCAGGACTTGTGGGAGAGATACAAGTGAAAGGGTATGGAGGGGGCACGTGTGAAGAAAGATGAGGGGGAAGGATCTCCAGAAGCAAATATACTCTTCTAAGGACCTCAAAGGCCTTGTGGACAGCAGAAAGAATCAGACAAATTGTGACCACACACACCTTGGCAGAGTAGGCAGAGACAGATTTATGCAAGATACAGATTTATGTAAGGTACAGCAGAGCTGTCACTCTGCCAAGCACTGCTAACTCCCAGCTCCATGAGGCTAATGCCACCATAACCCCTGACAGATGCTGCTATTGCTCAGGACAAGCTCTGCAGAAACAGGGGACGTGTTGCTTCTGCAGGGTAGGGGGGAGATCAGAGGGACAGAGAGAATATTAAACAGGCTGTGCTCACAGCCTCTCCCCTGCCCTGGCTCCCAGCATCAGACAGGAACGCAGGAGTCCTTGGCAAATCTTGCAGAAGCATCCTCACACCTGCTTTGATGTCTTTGCTGCCAATTTTAACTTTCAGTGGACCAACAAGACATGAAATAGTTTCCTCTTGCCCTCTTTGCTGAGCACAGTGTCATATTCAGCTGCTGCTTTGGGGTTTACTTCAGCCTCCTGACTTGGCTTTGACAGGGAGGGGACGATGCTTTACAAGGACCCCTGGGCCAGTGCTGAATGTGGGGCTRCTGACACTGGCACACTGGAAGGRGAAMASAGGAASGCAAAAAAGACACGAGTGAGCARTCTGCAYATTGCAAAATGCTTTCTCATGAAAGGGAAAGGCTGAAAGCAATTTTTCTCTAGACAGAAGGGAGATGGGACAAAAGATTGTCCTGTGGAATGGCAGCTCCTGGCAGTGCTGGGGCTGGATGGATCCATGCCCTGTAGAAGAGGTAGAACAGCCTTTGGGTTCTGTGGAGTGTGTCTGACTGCTGGGAGGAGAAGTGTCAGGAGGAGATCCTTCCACCTCAACCCTGATTCCTGATGGAATCAGGAGGAGAGAACAGARACAGCATCTGAGCTATCCCAGTCAGAGAGCATGGGAACTGTCCATCCACAGCCCTGACTGAACATCTCCACTGGGCTGCTGGCACAGCTGCCAAAAGCAGACCTTGACACTGGTGTGACATTTCCAAGGTGAAGGCAGGTGGGAAAGGTCAGCAGAATCCAACTGTCTTTGAGAGGCTGCCCCACAGCCAGGGCTGCATGCACAAGAACAGCCTTTCCCTCCTGGTTCCACCATTCATCCAGAGATGCCAAGAGAATGACAAAAATAGGCAAATAAAAATAAATGCTCTTCCCTGCCTGAGCCTCTATTTATCACAATTTTCTGGGCACACAGAAAAGGACAGCATATGCAGCTCCGGCAGGCTCACGCAGACGGCAGATTGGTGCCTGCACCCAAACAGGGGCCTCTGGCCTCTGCTTTCTGCATCCTGCCTCCTCTGCCTCTCTCTCCTCCTCTCCACACCTGCCTTTTCCCCGTGGAGAGGTTTAACAGGACACATCCCAGGTGTGCATTGCACAGGGTCTGGAGAAGTCTCACCACCCTGGAAACGCACAGCTCCTCAGTTCCAGTGTTCCCGGGACAATGAAGCTTTGCTTTTCACAGATTGTGCTCYCCACCCCTCCCAGCTGCTTCCACCCACCCTACAGAGCTCCTGCCCATATCCCAAACTCTGCCTTGGCTGCTGCCTGGGCAACARGCACTGCACACTGCAGCTCCTCCCTGCTTAAAAGCTCCTACACAGGTGAGCCAAGTGTAGTCTCACAGCAAGTTTTACCTCAATTCCACCAAAAGCCAGATTTCTGACTCTCATCCTGGGTTCACAACATTTTGTGGAAGCTTTTTTTTACAATCTGGCAGAGCAGTTTTTCTTGGCCCCTCACTTTCCTCTACTGGGARCCATCCCACATGGCAAACCTGCAGCTGAGCATGTGAAGATTGATCTGCCTACATGTGAAGAGCAATGCCATGAGGCCCAGAGTAAAACCAGCTAAGAAATCCTCATCCAGGGCCCTGAGACTCCCTGTGTTTCTTGCTTTTGGTTGTTTTCTTTTTTTTTTTCCCCCAATGGAACAGGAAGCACAAAGAGTAATGCAAGATTCCTTTGGCACAGGGAGAGCAGAAGTTTATCAGCTCTGTGGACACCAACTGTGGCACAGCTTGGCCCAGATAAACACTTGAAAGCCACCTTCAATGCTTTAGTGCAGCAATGTCTGATGTTCTAAGTGCACATTCTCTTTGTTCAGCCAGGTGCTCCACTTCCCAACYAGAAATTTTGATATATTCCCAGGAAAACCTTCCCTGCCCTGAAACTTCCCTTTCTCAGTCCTCACCACTTTTCTCCCTCACCTACAGATATCTGATCCAACCTCAATGACCAAACTGAATCTATTTCCTTTCCTGCCCTTCCTGTGTCTTCTCTGACATCATTAAATCCTTTAATCTGACATCATTAAATCCTTTAGTCTGTATTGCCAGGTTTTCTTCTCCTGTAACTTTTTCCAGTGACAAGAGGAGATGCACTGTCTCTCTCCCCCCTGCCTCAGCCACACCAAACTCAAGTTGTAGGAGCAGAAATGTTGTCAGCCATCCTCATGTATACTGGGAAGATCCAGCCAGAAGCATAMCMAAMMWWAMCMAAAMCMWTWRGRAAAAAAMMMMAMCMAAAMMAAMMAAMMAAAAAAAAATCACAACCACCACAAGAGCACAGTAAGTAGCTTATACCGGAAAACAACAAAGAATTAAATACAAGTCTGAATATTGACAAAAGCAGGGAGAAGTGAGAACAGAACACAAAAAGGAGGGTTTTCACAATTATTCCTCCAAACCTACCTTGAATGTGCAGCTCCTCCTCATTAAAGGGATGTCTGGTCTTCACAATTGCTGCGTTTGGGAGGCAGTGATTCTGCTTTATACAGTTTTCCAATGCCTAAGAGGGGAAGGAAAGAAAAAAAGAACACATCTATATTTGTCAGGGAAGTTTGTATTACAAAAGTTTGTGCCCTAGTTATTTTTAAAGTATGTAGGACAATGCACACAAAAAGTCTCAACCCTTATCTGGAGCTTGCCATTAGCTGACAAGATCAACACTTGCTAAGGATTAACAAGATGAATTATCCATGCAGTACATTATCATCATGCAAAAAAAATATTGCACTCAATACAGTTAAAATATAACCAGCAAAACACGTCTGTGCTAAGGATGTCATAGAGATGAGTTGTYGATTTATTTTCAGTTCAGAGATACCAAAAAGCAAAGAAATCTAAGTTAAAACAGCCCATGCACTGATAGC